CACCACTACTTACACCGTCACACCTACTGCACCACACTGCCGTCCAGATGCTTTTATAAATCTCACGGAGCATTGAACCTCGCGAGCTTTTATAGAAACGAGTTCAGTCAGTGAGTAAGTGAGTCAGTCAGAATTAAACCCATTAAATTAGGCGTTCCGTTGTGCTGGGAAGAAAGTAGTTGGGTGAATATATGAACATTGGCTGGTTTTTGTATTGTGCTGGTATAAAGGAACACTTCAGCCATAACTAACTTAAAGCATTGTGAGTTTCCGTAGGTGGGGTGCAGGTATTCGGGGTGACTATGCAGTGTTCAGCCAAGAGTTTATTTGTTCAGTTGTGTCTCACTTAACCGCTAGCTATCATGATGTAACCCAGTGTGATTTAATCTGATAACAATCGGATTTACTTTAATGTTAATAACTCCTTCAGAATAAGATAAGGAGGTGTATGGTACAAGGCGTTTACAGTGTCTTAGTATTGTCCTTTAGTTTATCTTACTGTGGACTGACTAACTGCTGAACTATCTGGATTATACTATTTACACATTTACTTCTTTACACGACCATAGATATGTAAGTGACTCGAATTAAAGAATGTTTGATGTTAAATTGTTATGAGTAGTAAAATCATAACATTACGAACCTCTCATACTAAATTTAACTAAGAATAAATGCGGTCCAATGTGTTCCTGGTGGTTAATGACGTCACAGGAGGTATTAATTGCTGAAGCGGCCGTTAAGAAAAACTCCGGACATACTGTTGGCTTGTGTGTTAATTACTTTGTTTAGTTGATAGTAAAAATTGACTTGAAGATGGCGTTAATGTTCACTTTAGCCCTGAATAGCGATGGGCACGAGGGTTTGGACCAATTGTAAGCCATTCTAAACTGTGAAAATTTCTCTCTCTCTCACACACACAGTTTGAACCCTTAACGTGAACCCATAAATAAATACTACCTAAATTTCTTCCTCACTTTTGTTGAATTTTTATATTGATGTCACTTTCAAAATTATTTCTGACGTCAATGTTTACTGAGCCAAATAAGACGTCAAGGCTCTCGGTAGGTTGTCACGCGCCTGAAGCCCAATTAGTGGGGGGTTTTCTCACTCACTCTTTATAAAAAACAATTTTATTCTAAGGTTATTTAACGATTTCTGTTTTTTAATCTTGTGAGGTAAAGGTCAAAGACTGTCACCTGGATTATCATTATTATTTTTTTTTTAATTATGCCCAGTGTTCGCCCCAGTCTCTCAAGAAGTAGTGGTTTAAACTGAAGAAGAGCTCTATCCGTTCTTCTTATGTTTTTCAAGTGTTTAGGTTAGGTTAAGTTAGGTTAGGTTAAGTGCTTCGGTATTTTATTAATTCTACAAACAATAACACTGGAAAAAAAATAATTGGGTCTAGATTTGACCTTTAAATTAATGATAATTAAATACAATAGATAAATAATAATTGTTATGGTAATTGATTCACGTATGTTTTTGTTATGTATTTGTTCACTGAAGAAGAAAAAACAAAAAATGACACGGTTGTTTGTTCCTTTGCGGTAAACCATTGAGTGTGGCTCAGGGGGTGGCGAGATAACAACATACAAAGAATGGTCACCCCAGATAGCGATAGGGTGGTTAATCTTCAGGTGATATAAGCTAGGGTGTCTATTCTTCAGTTGATTCCCTTTTAAGTGATATCAAGTATGTCATTGTTGATGTATGTGTAATTTCAACTGAGTTCTTATAGCTGTTTGTATGCCGACCAGGACAGTGGGAGCTGACACTTACATCCCTGCAGTAGCTGACACCCACACTACAGTAGCTGACACCCACACTACAGTAGCTGACACCCACACTGCAGTAGCTGACACCCACACTGCAGTAGCTGACACCCACACTACAGTAGCTGACACCCACACTACAGTAGCTGACTCGCCAACACTCTTGTCCCTTGGCTGACGTCCACTGAGATCACTGAGGCCTGACTTAACATGGCACACACACACACACACACACTGCCTTCCTCTACTAGCATCCGTACCTTAGCTTGCCGCCCCTCCCTTCCCTCCCCTTCCTTTCTTCCTCTCCCTTCCTCTTCCCTCCACCTCCCTACTATCTCCTCTACCTTCCTACGGTCTCCTTCACCTCCTTGTTACCCCATCCACCTCTCAAACCCTCCACTCCACCTAGTCCACCTCTCCACCTCTCCACCTGCCAACGCTGTACAGTTCATTGATCTGACAAGTATGTACGTGTGTCTGTCTGGTCAAATGTGGTGATCTCATGATGGTTAGACACCCTAGCTTATTTTTACCTGATAATTAAACTACCTTAAGTGGGTAGGGTGAGGTTAGGTTAGGCGAAAAAAAATCGTTTATTACAGAAAGTTGAAAGAATTTAGGTCGCAGAGTAGAAAATATCATCGTTTTTGTTTACCTTTCATTCCCTCTGTAGGCAGGAAGGCGCGGGGGAACATTTTGTCATTCTCCCATCACTACGCTCCCCGCCCGCTACCATACAGTTTGTTGATAAATGTTTTCTTGAATCATAATACAGGAGAATGGTTGATGGTTCCTCCTCCTCCCACTCCTTTTCCCTCTTTTCCTGTCCTCCCCCCCCCTCTTCACCTCTCTCTCTCTCTCTCTCTCCATAGCCTCTTGTGGTAGTCAAACGACTCATCCAACGAAAATTCCTGTCACGATTAGTCTCGTGTTGTTGTTCTCCCTACGTCACCGGGTAACTAATATAGAAGAGTGTATGTAAATGAGTGACGCCTTGCTTTTACAGATCGGCACAGGTTAAATGTATCCCTGAGCCAGCCATCCTTCCTTCCTTCCTCAGGTTACTCCTCCTTACGAACTTCGCCTTTTGTACGTCACCAGTATTTCCTTCTTCTCTTTTTTATGCCTTTTACTCGAGTTATTATATCTTTCGCTTTTCGCTCCTCACAATTTTGTTGAACTTTTAGCCAGTTTACGTTTTCCAGGACCTTTTTTTATCTCAGCGTGGCTTTCCAACTCAACATTACTCTGCTGTCGGCGTCTTTCCACTCCTCGATCCTTACATTTCCACGCTCCTCGATGGTCGCTTCCACTAATGCATTTTTCGGATCCCACCGCAACACTTTCACTTTATTTTTGTCCAGTTATTTCGTCAACATTCAATTTCTCATCTAATTTCTTTAGGGAAAGTTTTTTTTTTAGGTTGCCTCGCCTTAGATTCTTTAAGTTTGTGGTGGACTTTGTATCAGTAGCGGCGGCGACAATGACATTAGGATATTTGATACAACTAAATACACCTCGCATAAACTCCCGCTTAAATGCCTCAGAATGCCTTTAGTGCACACGCTACTTGGAATAATTCATCCAAAATAGACTAATCATGTGTTAATTTATTACTTCTTTTCTCTATTTATATGTTATGTATTTATTAAAAACATTATGGCTTTCACTCGTTGTTCTATACAACTTTAACCATAACCTATCTGTGTTGTTGGTCAATTCAGGACGCCAGACGAAACCTCATCCAACTCTCGACTATCTATCCATTGACACCCATCACAGTGGATTTATTTCCTGGATTTCCTCTACCACCTACACCCCCTCCTGTGTCCTCATCTCCCTCTTACCTGCGGGACACACACACACTAATGACTCATATTTTTTGCTCAGGTAGCCGAGAATGCCGCAGTTGCCATCCTACAACCCACATACTTTCTGTCAATGACTCAAGATAAAGGCCAACACCTCTTATATAACCGTTGATAGCCTCCAGCACGTCGCCCTTCCTCACATTTTCAGCTCCGTTGCGTGTAAGGTTTTCATAACATCAACAAGTGGTGTCCCTCTCATATTATAAACTACTCCAGGATATAAACTCCAGGATATAAGTTTTGGCTTCATGTTTTATTTAATTCTTTTGTGCTCCAGTTAGTCATTTGGACGCACAGGAGTACTTTACAAGACCAGTGTTGCTCATTACTGTGCATTTTGCGGGAGGAGTTTCAACCTGTTATTATTTACAACGCTCGGAGATATAAAAATATATATCCTTTATCACCTGATCATCCTACACTGATTAGAGTAAACTAGTACGAGGCCTATACAAAAAAGGTAGTGAATAGATAAATTACTTCCCTAGTGAGTACAGCAGCTGACAAGACGCCATAACCTTAGCCAGACTATACCTGATAGAGTTTCATCACCAACCTGGTCGTCTCTCTTCCCTCTCTCACTGCACTAGGATAGATAAAATTAGGTAAATTTTTCCATTTATAACAGGTTAAGCAAGACTGTCGAATATAAGTGTTTATCATCTCAGAATACAGTTGTTTACTTGAAAATCATGGGGCGTTGTGGAATTTAACCCTCAGTAATAGTTTATAATATGGTCTAAATCCTCCAGTAGCAGGATTTAGCAGTGCTGGAGGATTTTGTTCAGTCACGTCACTTAGCGCGAGGCAACTGTAAGTCACCTCTAGCCTAGGCATATTGAGTAAGTTAAACTCGCCAGCTATTTACGGATTGAATTAGCTCAGGTATTCATAGATTACTCAGATGAGGAGATTCAGTAACACCTATAGGTCTCTACCCCAAAAATGAACAAATAATAAACATGTCAAACCTCGCAAGCCGATTCCAGTAGTACAGATTTCCAGTAGGGTAACTTAAGTAATTACTGGGGTGGCCATGGTGAGGGCGGCCACCTGCTGGATTACTGCATTATATGAGACAACTTCTCGTCGCAAGAAGACGCTACTGGAAGCGATTTATAATAATGCTTGACGCTAGTGTTTCCGCCTGAGAGCGATAGTGATAGCAACAGCAGCCTAGCCAGGTCGAGTCGCCATAACATGTTATGATATTATACACGACATCGTCACTCGTTGTTCATATTTACTCACAAAGCTTATTTTTTTAAGAGATACGCTTCAAAGCTACTTTTATAGCTCATACTCTTGTCTCCGATTAGTATCACAACTTCCAACTGAAAGACTTTCCCTCCAACAGTAATGTGGATATCCCGTCAACACTACCCAAGATGCACCACCGTTAACACTAACACAACATAGTCGTTACGTGTTTCAACTAGTAAGTAAACCATATTTTTGTCGATATTTACTCACTTATTTTGAATATATACTCCCCAGAGTGTTGTGAAAGAGGAGATGAACTGAATGTTTGTCGCTGTCAAATGAACATTCCCTCCGGGTTAGTGCATCGACAACCAATCATTGATCCCCACTTTAGTGTGACTTTAGTCTTTCTCATCTTTGTCGTAATCAATAAACATCGCTTTTATTCCTCCATTACCATGATTTCACGTACAAAAGTATATGCATAGTGCATCGAGTACACACAGGACACGTATGGCGGGATCGAAAAAGTGAAATTAGAGGGAAAAGGATGAAACTTGATCGTTTAACCCCGGCCAGTGCAGCATCCTTCAGTTTTCTGTCCTCGACTTGGTCTTCAAACGATCGTGGGTTTGGCTGCCGTGTTTGATGTACCAAAAGGCTCTGTAACCTTGACTGCTGTGAGAGAAGGTGCTGGGATCGCTACACCTGTGAATAGATAGATGCTTGGAGTGCCAAACTAAAACTAGCATTAAGCGGGGAGGTGCTGAGGGACGTGTTTGTAAATCCTAGTTCATGTGACTGGTAATACTTCCACCTCTCCTCCTCCTTCTAAGTGGTGGTGATGGTGGTAGTGGCATTGATATCGGTGTGAATGGTGAAAGTTATACTATTAGTGATGGTGGTGTTACTATTGGTGGTGATGTTGGTGGTGTCGGTAGTAGATGTAGGTGTAATAGTGTTGGAGATGGTAGTTGTAATAGAAGTAGTAGTAGTAGTGTTGGAGAAGGAGATAGATAGTAGTAGTAATAGTGGTGGTGGCAGTAGGTAGTAGCAATAGTGGTGGTGTTGGGGGTGTTAAATTAAGGGCCACACACAAACAAGAGTAAGGGCCATACGTAAACAAGAGTAAGGGCCACACATAAACAAGAGTAAGGGCCACACTTAACCATTGTGGTGCCACCAACAAAAGGCGGTTCCTAAGACAATGCCATTGAGCGTCGGGGAGGCCACTTGTGCCTTGACAAAGACCAGTTGTGGAAGGCGCAAGGTGATGTGCAGGGTGATGTGGAGCGTGAAGTGTGACGTGCAGGGTGAAGTGTGACGTGCAGGGTGATGCGGAGCGTGCAGGGTGATGTGGAGCGTGAAGTGTGACGTGCAGGGTGATGTGGAGCGTGAAGTGTGACGTGCAGGGTGATGTGGAGCGTGAAGTGTGACGTGCAGGGTGATGTGGAGCGTGAAGTGTGACGTGCAGGGTGATGTGGAGGTTGCAACGTGATGTATGGATATGTAATGAACCAACACCACCTCCTCAATATTAACGTAAGCTTATTTAGTCTAACCTAACCTAACCTACAGAAGGAGAAGAAAGAGGAATAGAAGGAAGAGTAAAAGGAGGAGGAGAAGAAGAAAAAGGGGGGAGGAACAAAGGGGGAGGAGGAGAAGAGGAAGAAGAAGAATGAAAAGGAAGAACAGGAGGAGAAAGAAGAGTAGGATGTGTTTGTGAGACAGCTGGTTCCTGGTGGTCACAGTCAGTCCATCGTCTCAGCCAATAAACCCGACTCAGGTTATCACAGGAGGGCAGCGGTGACACACACACACACACAGTCCCTCTACACGGTCGCTAAGATTACTGGTCTCAATTCATAACACAGCGACTTTAATAATTCCTCAACACGTCCCTCACTGACTTATATCACGATTATATAACCTTTTTTTTTTCTTTTGTTTTATGTCTGTTTCTACGTATTTATGTTTATTTCTCTTGTGTGTGGGATAGAAGAAGGGGGTATAGGAAATGTTAACGAATGAAGAGAGTGAGTAGGGGAGTGAAAAAATGTGAGAGGAAAGTAGTAAGGTAACAGGTATAAATAATTCACACACACACACACACACATACACACACACACACACATACACGCCTCTTATCTCCAACTTTCGGTCACAACTAACGGATCACCTGAAGATTAGACACCCCAGCTTATTTCACCTGAAGATTAATCACTCTAAAGCTAATCTAACCTAACCTAATTTACCCCCAACTCAGGTATTAGCATTAAGGTGTTGATTAATCGTCAAGGAAAATAGAATGGGGGGTGTCTAATCTTCAGGTGCACGTATAAGATCAAAGTTCAGTGTCTTTTCCAGTTAGTCTTTTAAGTCTCGGGAATGAGATGTGTTGGATAAGGTTGTCACATCTCACGTCAGAGCAAATCACTTCTGGTTGATGTGTAACTGAGCCCTGTGACGACACCAATCTTAGGTAGACACTCACTACTCCCTCGGGCGAGAAGCTTTGATACATACATACATACTTACCGGGTGATAGAGGGTGTGTGTGTGTGTCCTGGTGAGGGAGGGAGGGGTGTGTGTGAGTATAAGGTGCACAATATACTAGCTGCTGTTCGAGGTAAATTCAAAATTCAATTCCCCTCCTATGCTAGTGGATGAAGGAGGGCGTGTGGCACAGATCTACGGGCTGTGTGTGCCAGTGTTCAATAAGTGACGCTCTGCCTCCTCTTGGCATTCCGGTGTTGTTTCATGACGTGTTCGCTTACACTCTCAGTCTCCCGCCACGCACTACACACACTCGCCATCCTGTATTTTGACGTCTGTAACATACTCTGGTTTTTGTATTTATTCGTTTGTGTTTCTCGAGTGTTTCGCCATTATTATTATTATCAGTTATGAAAACAAGAGAGCCGAAATGAATAGCGTATGCAGGCTTTTTTTCTGTTTTCTCGCTATCTTTCCTTCACTCTGGCAGACATAATATATGTTCTGCAGTACTAAATAAGATGAAGGAAACAAATAATCGCGTATAGATTTGCCCCACCAGCTTATTTCACCTGATGAATAAATATCCCAACGTTAACCTAACCTTATCAAGCCAACCTAACCCTACCCCACCCACCCACTCCAGGTAACGATAGGGTGCTTAATCATTAGGTAAAATAAGCTGGTAGAGGCTAATTTTCAATTACTGTAGACGTTAAGCATCCCCATTAATATCGAAACGTTTTCCTGTTTTACGAAGTGGTAAATGTTACAATATCGGAACAAAATGGTGATAAAAGTTGAAATACGAATAACAGCGAAATTTTTTCTAGTTCTAAGTCGTTCGTGTTCTGATGTCGTAACGTTATCCTGTCGTAACTAATAATTCAAATAAAATCGGCTAAGAAACATGCTAACTGTGTTTCTCAGCTATGGTGTAGATACTCCCTCCAATGCAAGTATTTTTCAAACGCTTTTAGTATGCCGGACGTACGACTATCCGGCACTAACACATTACGCTTGTTTTTAATATAGTCTATGTATCTGAAAGAGTTTATATTATACAGTATATATATTTTAATCACATTCTTTTATATCACGGGAATTAATTTTTGAACGTTCTAGTGCAAGCTGTGAAGTTCTGCAGTTTATTTAAACTTACATGAAGTGAGAGTGTTGAGAGCGGGAGGCAGGCTGCTGCGGCCCCCCGTGTGCTGGAATAAACCAAATATTATTTTTAGCTCTGCGTCTCTTGTGCTTTGCTGTATGAACACCCGCCATCCCCTCCACCTCTGTTGACTGTCTTACCTGCTGATGTTTACTAACCAAGAACAACAACCATGACGCTGATGAATATTTTTTTTTTTTGTATAATAAACACCACACACACACACACCTTTATAGATGTTTACATCATGGTAGATGGAGAAGGTAATCACAACAAATGTCTGAATGCTGCACCTCGTTATAGCGGAGATATTGATAACACCTTAACAAGCTCGGGAGTTCACGACGGGATTGTGAGGAGGAAACAGGTTAGGTTAGGTTAGGTTAAAAACGTCATGTTAAGTCAGTCACAAAACAAATAATATTTTACAAAAGACATATTTCAAAACTACATGAGTGGCCGTAATCTTGACAATATACCTTTAATGGTGGTGTAGGGGTATTGAGATATTAATGTTGTCTAGCACTCAGGATGGAAGGAAACTCTAATGGTGGTTTTCTTGTATAATATATGTTATATGATAGACAGTCTGGTGCTGGAGGTGCTTGTTCAGGAAGATGGGCAGAATGAGAGTTGGTTGGTGAGGAAGCTCAGAGAAGGACAGCTGGTGGGTCGCCATGCTCGCTGGCGGGAGCGAGGACCGCCAGGCAGGCGAGGAGATGCGAGGGCTGCCAGGCAGCGGCGGAGGAGGAGGTGTTGCTTGTTCAGGAAGATGGGCAGAATGAATCTCAATGGAGAGACAGAGCTTATATACCCAGCAGCAGCCGCTATGAGTCATGTTAGGAAAACCCGAGAAGTCGCCGGTCACTAGTTCCGTTGCTAAGATACGGTAACATCTGGGGACAGCTCTCGCTTGGTTGCTAGGCGACGGCACGTCGGAATGCGGTAACAGGTGGTGGCTGTGGCTACGCAGTTGTAAGCAGTTGTAGGGGAGACGTTCACTACAGTGGCATCAACAGGTTTCTAAATATGAATATCGGGTCGACGCCAACCATCTTAGCGTGCCATTGTTGTACGGGAGACAAAGAACACGCCGAGAGAGGTGGTTGAGAGTTCGGGAGAAACAAGAGAGTAAGCGGCTGACCGAGAACTGTAGAGACCAAGAAGTAGAGACAGAAAGAATGAGAGGTGTGGTTGAGAAAGAAATGAGAGTGACACCGGGAGCATAGGTCGGACAGGGTAACGGATTTTCCTTTAAAAAACACAAAACATCTTATTAAAATATTCTAATTCCACCGTGAACTTGGTATCCGTGATGGGAAATAATGCTTAAAGTAGACAAACTGTACTTCAGCATTGCTCTTTTTGCCGCTATTGTTTACACTTGTTAGGTCACTGATGTGTTCGCCATCACGAGTGGAAATGATTTTTCTTTTATTTAAAATTTTACAATTTACATATATACATAAATATTACATATTAACATATTTGTCCGTGAAATATTTGGATGCGTATTTTATGGTCGTCTACTGAATACTTTAGCGTTCAGTTCACTCATGACACTCATGTTTTAGTTCCTTATCTTGTTATTATCCCGTAATGTCCCTCGCCCTTTAAAAGAAGAACACACGCCATTTGGTTACAATAAAATCAACTAAAATAAGTATTGTCGTTGGTTTAGAACATAACACCATTTAGGATGATCAGTTTCGTGGGAATATTTCATTCAAGGGATTGGCAATATTAAAAGAAACACACACACACACACACACACTATTCTACAATAACCCCCCAAAAAAAAATAGATTGTTAATATATTGTCGTTGATTTAGAACGTAATACCATTCAAGTCAATTACTTTGTGTTGTGTTAGTGTTTTTTACCGGAATATTTCACTCAGGTGATTGGCAATATTTGGAGGCCATGTATGGTAGTATTTTAATTTGCTGTTACGGCGCCGGGAACACACTGGCTACCATAATAGGAGACGAGGCTACAACAAAGGCTGGTTTAAATTGACTTTCACAAGCCACTGGAGTTTATACTGTCAACAGAGTTTGAAATATTAAAAACCCTGTAAAGCAGAATTGGAACTACGTTTGTAATTTGATTTTCGAGAACGGTGTCACGGTTATGGCTTTGGTGTTGGTGTGTGGGTATAGTGGTGTATGTGTACTGTTTGTAAATCCTGTATGAAAGGCCTTACGATGATACACACATACACACGCCTGTTTGTATGACGGGTGTTATCCAGTACACAGCTCCAGGCTTGTCTATATATGCATGCCATGGTTAAATTCTAGTTCCCCAGATAAATGTACAGTACCTAATATACTATACTATACTGTACTTAAATCCACTTAACTTTGCATACAGGCATACTACCACATAACGTAATTAATACACACACACATACATACACACAGTCATTATTCAAGTGTCAAGTGTGAGGATGTTTGGCCGTGTCAACTGTGCGAGGGCTCCAGGAGGTAACTGTATTTATCCTGAGTGTGAGGCAACTGTTGGCGCCAGTCACTAGGCTCTTCGACTGGAAACTTGAGACGTACACGATGGCGTTACTAGTGTCTGAAGGTTACAGTGACTGGCTGGGAATACTCTTTCTGTGTATTACTTGTGGAAAAATACGGAAATAGCAGCTTATGCAAAAAAAAAATATTTTTATTTTTGAGATATGAAATCACATGAAGAGTAGGCACCCAATCTTGTTTCACTCTTAAGATTAACCACTGAAACGCTACCTTTAGTGAGGGTGGGTGATTAAGTTAGGTTTAGTTAGATTAGGTTTTGTTAAGTTAGAACGTGTTTCTCAATGGGTTTGCTTTTATTTTTTCCCCATTCATGTGACTCGCCTGAAAAATATTGTCGTGTTTGAAGAGCTTTTGTTAATGATTACTCGTGTTTTCTCTAGGAGGACCCCCCAGCCTTTCTATATCCATACTAAATTTTATTGACATTATCAACATAACTATACATATTTCCCCGTGACGATGGGTAACTATTAATGGTGTGTGTTGTTTCCCCGGCAGGAAGGGAACGGGCGGTGGGGGAGCAGCGAGGTCTCCACCACCTGACCCTCTCCCCCCCCTCTTCGCTACACCCGCGCCACACCCACTCCACCACCACCACGTCCACGCCACGCCACCACCACGCCCACACCGTCTCTACTGACCACCGCGAAGGCCCGCCCACCCAGCCATGGACTCCGAGAACAGGGTGGTCCTCAACGTGGGCGGCATAAGACATGAAACATATAAGGTAAGCTGTGAAACAAAAGTCACCGTATAACATGAGACATCCAAGGTAAGACATAAAATGAGGCAAGACATAAAACATGAGGTAAGACATAAAACATACAGGATAAGACATACCTATACGTGGGGCCCTGGCGGTCATCAGACACCTGCCCTGTTCTTGACCAACCTCATAGACAAAGTCCACTATACCCTGTCTCTCGGGCTCTTCAGCATTCCAGGCCCCGAGACAACAGCAGTTCTGGACTCCTCGATGCTTGGGCCCTGGATACAAGGTGCTAAATAAACACACTGCCACGGTGTTGTTAAATCCTGTGTTGACTAACGCAGGATGCTGTGGAGTTCCGTGTTGTGTTGAATTATTTCCTCTGACTTGGAGCACCACCTAATTTGTGTCCAGTTGCCATGTGTTCTCGGCTATTCGTGTGCTTTGGACGAGACTAGATTGAACGAGTGTATTCGGCTTTCGTGTGTTTTGGACGGGACTGTATTTGACGTTCGTGTGTTTTGGACGAGTGTGTAATCGATTTTCGTGTGTTATGGACGAGAGTTGATTCCACGTTCATGTGTTATGGACGAGAGTGTGTATTCGACATTCGTGTGTTTTGGACGAGACTGTATTCGACGTTCGTGTGTTTTGGACATGTGTTTTCTGGTGTAGCTTCTCATAACATCATGCTTGGTCTGCTATCCAACCGATTTCCATAAATAATGGGAATACACGAGGTAAATAATCCCTCCATAATATTTGTATGTCGACCAAATTGTTAGTTTGTTATTTTTTTTTTTTTACACAATCAAATGTGGTCCTGATATTGACAAGAAATTTTCACTGGTTAGACAGTTTAGGCAAGGCATCCGTAGCTTACCAAATATACTAACAACTGTCTCACTGCATTATGTAAAACTAGGAGTGTGGTGTTATGGATATAAGTTTGATACTCGTGTGACGTGTTTATTAGGATGATTGGTATAAGTAAGTTTTTACTGGATGTTTATAACTATTATTAAACTTGAAGAACTTAGATATGCATATTTAAAGTTCGACTATTTAGTAACTTCAACTTGCATACACTGCTTAACTTGGTTTAAAATGAATAGTAAAAAAAATAACTTCTCTACTAACTTTTTCCCCGTTGGCAAGTTGTTTCTCATGTTCCAATTTTTGAGGTGAAAAGAACCAAAACAAACGGAATTTCCAAACTCATTTGAGAATAATCAATGAGACGTCCTGAAGGTGAGTGAGTATCTCTGCCACGATAGTGCTTATTGACGCTCACTTGAAGCTGACGCCCCGTGAATGGTGGCGGCAACAGGTGTGTGATTGTGGCACTTCAGTTAAAATGCAAAATGCCATTACTGTCTTCGCTAAAAGACATATGAAACGTATTGTAACACCTTCATTACAGGGACGACACGTTTAATATTTTATTTGGGTAACGCCATACGATTTTATTCAGTAGAGAGAGACAAGCATTATGTTGACATTACTCGGGAGGAGGGGTCACATTATACAAATTTACTTGCTTCTTTCTCTCGTCCGTAACAGATTTGTTTCCTAATAATTTAACGCTGTTATAGTTCCAGTTAAAATTCTACATAATGAGTTTACATTTGATTTTCCACTTTTGCTGTCAAATTCTACTCAGTGTTGTTGTCAGAGTACATTCATTGACACAACTATAGGTCAAGTTACCGGCCGATCAGTTTGACGTCAGTAGTGGGGAAATTTCTTGAATCAATTATAGCAGATAGCATCCGATCGTATCTAGAGAAAAGGCAAATTAATCTACGACTCTCAACATGGGTTTACAAAGGGAAAATCTTGTCTAACAAATCTGCTAACGTTTTTTAGGAAAGTCTTCGAGGTAGTAGATAATGGCGAAAATTACGATGTTATTTACTTAGACTTTAGCAAAGCATTTGACAGAGTACCGCATCAGAGGCTTCTGAGAAAAATTAAGGCTCATGGTATCGAGGGGAAAGTTTTAAATTGGATAAAATCATGGCTCACCGATAGAACGCAGAGGGTCAGCGTAGATGGTGTTAAATCTGAGTGGGGCCGTGTAACCAGTGGGGTTCCCCAGGGGTCAGTACTAGGCCCACTCTTGTTCATAATCTACATTAACGATTTAGATACTGGGATCAGCAGTGACATAAGCAAGTTTGCGGATGACACCAAAATAGGGCGGCAAATTAATTCAGGGCAGGATGCAAATGCATTACAGGAGGATCTAAATAAACTGCAGGGGTGGTCTGAAAAATGGCAAATGAAATTCAACACCAGCAAGTGTAGCGTACTTAATATTGGAAGAACATACATTTATAATGTATTCAGCCTTAACAACATCAACCTAGAGAAGTCGACTTGTGAAAGAGACCTAGGGGTACTTGTAAGCCCGGACCTACGGCCTAGAAAACAGTGCGTTAATGTTCGAAATAAGGCAAACAGAGTATTGGGTTTTATATCTAGAAGTGTAAGTAACAAGAGTGCAGAGGTCTTATTGCAACTATATCTTGCGCTAGTCAGGCCGCACCTCGATTATGCGGTCCAGTTCTGGTGCCCCTATTATAGAATGGATATAAATTCACTAGAGTCGGTGCAGCGAAGAATGACAAAAATGATTCCGGGACTTAGAAACCTTCCATATCAGGATAGGTTAAAGAAACTTAACTTGCATTCCCTAGAAAGACGAAGAGTGCGGGGAGATATGATAGAAGTATTTAAGTGGGTGAAAGGAATCAATAAAGGGGCTATAGATAAAGTTCTTATAATATCCGAGCAGGATAGGACTCGGAGCAACGGATTCAAGTTGGATAAGTTTAGGTTTAGGAGGGAGATAGGAAGAAACTGGTTCACAAATAGGGTGGTGGACGAGTGGAACAAGCTTAGCAACTTTGTAGTAAGTGCGGGAACTCTGGAAACTTTCAAAATGAGGCTAGATAGATTCATGGATGATAGAGAGTGGCAGTAACTCTCGACAGGAGCTGCCATGCACAGGCCAACCGGCCTATTGCAGACTCCTTATGTTCTTATGTTCTTATGAATGATCGCTAAATATGCAGAATAAAATCAGGCTTAATACTCGTTATTCTTTTTTTTTAAAGTCGGTGATACAGTGATGACATACTAGTGGTGCAAATAATAGGTAGACAAAAATGTAGAGTAATTTCTGTACATCCTAATTTACTCACCATTGTAAAGAAACTCTGGCTGCTCTTAGTAACTAGAACATCAGAATAAATCTTATCAGAATCGTTTCTTTTTGTGGGGAGGTGTCACACTGTTCCACCAGTGCGTTTGGTCTTAATGTAGTTTGATCTTTTTCAGGCGACCTTGAAAAAGATCCCAGCAACACGTCTCTCCCGCCTGACGGAGGCACTGGCGAACTACGACCCCATCCTCAACGAGTACTTCTTTGACAGGCATCCAGGAGTGTTTGCTCAGGTCAGGAAATAAATATATTGTGCCATCTTAATTCACAAGATATTTTTAGGAACCTTGTAGTTATAAGTAAGAACAAAATTTTCCCCTAATTTTATGCCCCTCCTGGATGTAGATAAAAATGTTTGTCCGTCTGTCCTTCCCTCTGGATATATGTTATGCTTGTAGTGGATTTCTCCCCTGCAAACGCTGTTTGTCGCTGCGTAGCCGACCCCACGAATTCCCCAGTGTATGCCTCGTGGTCTAGGTCAACCAGCGCCGCCATACATCACGGAGCGGGGGTCAACTACTAAGCCACGCCTACCCCCGCTATTTAAGACCTGACCTCGTGGTGACCTGCCTTTTAATACCTACACCAACCAGCCAGCAACACCTCCTCCTCCTCCGCTGCCTGGCGGTCCTCGCTCCCGCCGGCGAGCATGGCGACCCACAAGCTGGTCCTCCTCTGAGCATCCTCACCAACCAGCTTGTAACCATGCTGCCTTCCCAGCACCAAGCTGCACTGAACATCCAATACAACATGTATACATGAGAGCACATCATGAGTTTCCTTTCTCCATCCCATCCTGAGTGTGAACCAAACATCCCAAAATCCCCACATGCTCTCTGTTGTTCACTTTCTAAGCACAACTTTCTTTAGCTTTTGATTTACTCTCTTGAAACATTGTAGAAATTTTACTTACCTATTGGGGATGAAAAGATTCACTAAAGTTGTTGGATTTGCCCTTTGGACAATTATTTCTTTTACCTTTAGTATTGAATATGTTTGTGTGTGTGTGTGTGTGTGTAGACACACACATACACACACACAAAACACATACAAATAAATAATAATTGGAAAATCCTCTCACAAATAATCATAAACAAATTTCTTAAAAATGTGATAGTCTACCCTCAAGTTCGTGCTCTATTAATAAAGTAATAGAGCACGAACTTGAGGGTAGACTGTCACATTTTTAATAAATTTGTTTGATTGTTTGTGAGAGTGTTTCTCATTATTATTTATTTGTGTGTTTTGAGTGTGTCTACACACACACACATATATATTTTTACAATACAGGTAAAGGAAATTACTGTCTCTAAAACGAATGGCTCCCTGTCCCAGCCGCGAAAATGACGGCAACTTTAAAACTACCACAGACATTCTTGGGTACATCCAGGGTGTCATCCGCGAATAACCGAGAACCGCGAAGTAAAAATCCGCGAACTTGGGAGGGGGGGGCGGCATATTGTATATACAGTATATTGTTCCGGTCTTATATTATGTTGGCTGTTTAATTACTGTGTCGAACTGTCACAATTTTACAATAACATAACGTCTCTTTAGTGTTGTGCCAAGGTAATGAAATAAGGGACAATCCTTCATCTATGGTATGCTTGACAACCCAATGGCAAGTAGGTACCTTAAACAATATTGTATGTCATTGCAGGTGTTGAACTACTACCGCACTGGAAAGCTACATTACCCGACCGATGTTTGCGGTCCACTGTTTGAGGAGGAGTTGGAGTACTGGGGTCTTGACTCCAATCAGGTGGAGCCCTGTTGCTGGATGACGTATACTGCGGTAGGTGTTATTGCCTGGCTAAATGTAGTATGGGTAGTAAAAGGTAATATTGGTTGTTATAACTAGAATTATTATCGAATATATTCATGTACTGTATAGTACTTTTCTTCATTTAGGCCGATTTTTTTATAGAGATTTTATTACTGCATGCTTGAATTTACACAATTTTATTAAGAGTAAAGAGTTTGTAAATTTATTAAGTTCTTTTTATGATACAGTAAATAGAGTACAGTACAAGAAAGAGCCAACACAGTTGTTAGGTTACTTGCTGGTACGTTATTGTATATTAGAATTAATTTATTTTGAGATATCGAAAGTTCCGACACGATTCAGATGAAAAGCATAAAGTATTTGAATTCACAGATGTTTTAATTGATTTTTCCATAATTCTATTATTACTGTATGGTAATGCACTAATTTCAATGTTCTGTAATAAAGCTATTATTATGATGTATAAGTGGAATGATGACTTGGAAGTGGGTATAAAAAAGGATGTTGAGAAAAGTGTAACATGGATGATGAACCAATGTTTAGCCACACAGTGTATAAGAACATGAGAACAAAACGTTGGGACGTTAACCAAATTATTGGTATCTAAAGAGTAGCGGTGTTATAACGAAACAACATTATCGGGGGCAACGTTAAATGAAGACTTACTGTACAATGGCAGGTAATCGGGTTATCAGACTAACTACCAACAAAGATGTAAAGCGTTCATGGCTATTCAGGGTTTGATTCCTCAATATGGCTCACAACGAACCATTAATCATGGTAGGTATTCATGTTGTCTCACATTAATGAACACTCTCAGGACTATGTGTACGGTCACCCACAAAAGTCCTGTTATGCCCCAGATATATGACAAGATGTTGGAGGTCATTGTGAAGTTGGTGATTTACGCAGACTGTGTGATGGCAAGCAGAAATTGGTTGGCCTCTGTAAGGGAATCCTTTAACCACGACAGGTTTCCCTTTTCTGTGATAATCTTGAAGCAGTGTGCCATGGATGAAAGCAGCTTGATGAAGACCTCAAAAGCATCTAGTCGTGCAACTTCTCTGGTCCATCAGAGATCTTTGAGCATCTTGTGTTTGGAGTCAGGTATAGCAGGATGGTGTCAGCTCAAAAGTTATCCTTGAGTGGCTGCTATAGTAGTTTGTTGTTGATCCTGGCAATCTATATAGGACACCATCATCGTGAGTCATCCATCTAACTTAATAATCACAATAAAATCATCCATGGTTGTACTGACACAGAAGGCACAGAAGGAAATGATAATACAAATTATGGGAAAAATGCGGGAGGCAAGGAGATGGTTGATATCGAAATGGCAATGGGAAGGACGCTGAAGGGTGGACTGTTGGAGGTTTGCCACTTCGCATAACTGTAGAAAAAGAAAACGGAGTAAAGTTGGTGATGGGTACATAAAGTTATGAAGTGTCCACTCGGCCAACCTTCGTAGCTCCCATCAGTTAGTACCGTACGTACTTGCATTCTTTTTCAACTGCTACTTTTGCTTTCAGTTGTTTAGTAGTTGTGCTATATAATATTATAGTTTGCCCTTAGCCACTCTCTAGAAAAATCTTATATTATGCATGAGGGTGACAAAACTACCTCAGGATGCAGAACCAATTAAAGGTATAGCCTAATTACATACTACTGTATATGTACAGTACAGTATATGTTTTCTACACTAATTAAACGTTATATGACTAATATATTTCTATGAATGGATGGGTCCCCTAGAATTTTGTTCAACATTGTACCCTCATCCCTCCCCCCCCCTCCCAATTTACATGCCTTGGATACAGGCCTATAAGAGTTTTACTTTACTTTTATCCTCTTTGCCACTTATCGGCTTGTTACCCGCTTGGGTGGTCAGTCACATCTCTGTTACACACAGTTGGTAAGTACTGGGCATGCACTGGCACCAGAATGTATTTATACCGGCTCCAGTGTTGATTAAGTCTGGTCTTGAAAGCGCCCATGCTCGGTGCTGTCACAACACTGTTTGGCAGATTGTTCCAAGAGTTTACAATTCTCACTGCAAGCAAGTTTGCCCCGACAATTTTCCAAACTTGCAGCTTCTTCAAACTGGAGCTGTATCCCCTAGGTTAAATATTTTGTGGTATTTGTCCAGCAATGTTTTTTTTTTTAATGTTTTATGTGATAAGGGGTTCATTTAAATTGTTTTTGTCTGTGCAGTATACAGTACTGTGCAGTATTACACTATCCTTGTACTGTACTATAAAAGTATCATGGCTTAATATTCAATCTTGTTTCATCTGCCAAACATTCAAGTGTCTTAATATTGTTTAAATTGGTGATTTATTGTTGATGAAGATTGAAAGAATCTGTTATTATAAACCATACATTAACCCCTGCATCTTCCTGTTCTGGCACAGTATGTACAGTACAGTACTGTATACAGTATATAGTTGGTTACCATCTAGGTATCTCACACTTGGGATACCAAATATTTTTGGGGGCGCTTTTGACCACTTGCTATATTCAAGATTTTCTTAAAATATGATGAAATGAGTGGGAGATAGCCAATTGAAGGCAATACAGTCATGTCTTCAGAAAAGTGTTTATTTTATTTGAGATGTTTCAGAATATGAAATTAATTTTTAAGGATCTGATACCTTTACAGTATATTGATTGTTTGTTGTGTCCACAGCATCGAGACACACAAGAAACATTGGCTGTGTTAGACCGCCTTGATCTGGACACAGACAAGCCCAGTGAGGAGGAGCTCGCCAGAAAGTTTGGTTTCGAGGATGACTACTTTTCTGGGAACCTCTCATGGTGGCAGAAGCTGAAACCTAAATTATGGTCGCTCTTTGATGAACCTTATTCCTCTCAAGCTGCCAAGGTAAAATCTTGTAAACATTGTGAGAAGTTTGTGTTTTACATGTTGCTTGTGATTGAAAGCTTAAGAGGACTGAATGAAGAAATTAGGAAAACTAGGAAATGTTTCTAATGAGGTTTTAGAACTGAGCACATTTAAAGCAAAAAGGAGCAGAAAACACGATACAGTACTGTAATTTGAATTTAATTAAGTCTTCTCAATTAGAAAAAAAAGAGTGTGAAATTTTTACTTCTCATTTTATATTAATTGTACAGTACAGGTATTCTCATTACATGAAATAATTAAATTTAGGTAGATCACAATATTTCACCTTATCTTCCTCCAGAGTTTTTCTCATAATTTTTATTGTTGATGGACTACTGTAATTACTAACATTGTGAGGTACTTATAAACCATAGTTGTTGAAGCACAGTACATTAATAATATAACATATGATGTCATTGTTAACTTTGCCAGGTTGGCTCTCAAGCTGGTCAGGCAGTTGGTCATTTCTGTCACACACTGTTGACAAGTACTGGTCTCCATTGGCTTTAGAGTGTACCTGAACATCTACACTCGCTACAAAAAGTATCTGCAACATTTTTGGTGAGACAATATGACTCAACGGACAAAGGGTTTTGACAACTCTACCGAGACAACAGGAGTCACGGTGTTCATTTTGACATCCATTGAACCCCACCTTGCAGATACTTAATGCAGCGAGGGTACATTTTGTGGTTAGAAAGATGCAGGTAACAGGAGGAAGAAAAAAAACTATAAATTTTTTAATATGATTGAAGAAGCAAACCGTTTGTCTAAAGAAAGTTGAGAAGCTTGTAAACCTAGATGACGTTTGAATTACTGTAAGAAAGAATGTGGAAAGAAAATAGTTTAGAAGATGGAGTCAGAAGAGGGAATAGAGTACATGTATTAGGAAACTTACTTTAGATAGCATTATTAATAAGGTCTGAGTGTTTGAATACCTTGCTGAGTTGTTTATCTGTACTCCTTCATAATACTTTTTGCTTTTATCCTCTTCACCATTGATCGGCTCGTTAGCCGCTTGGGCAATCGGTCACGTCTCTGTTACTTTTCTCTTTCTTTTATCCTCTTCACCAAATGATTGGCTCGTTAGCCGCTTGAGCGATCGGTCACGTCTCTGTTATGCACTGTTGGCAAGTACTGGGCATGCACCGGCTCCTGAATGTACCTGAACCTGCTCCAGTGTTGGTCAAGTATGGTCTTGAAAGAGCTCACACCCGGTGCCGTCACAACACTTTTTGGAAGATTGTTCCAAGAGTTCACAACTCTCACTCCGAAAAAGTTTGCCCTCACAATTTTCTGGACTTGCGGCTTCTTCAATCTTGAGCTGTGACCCCTTGTGGGGCGAGCATCCGCCAGCTCCAAGTAAGGACTCTCGACTGAGTAGTGCCCTTTGAGATGCTTATACACCTCAATTAGGTCGCCCCTTGCCCGTCTGTAGTATATAAGCTAGGCAAGTTCAGGTGCTCCAATCTCTCAGGATAGTTTAGGTGCCGAAGTGCAGGCACCAGTTTGGTGGCCCTCCTTTGAACATTTTCAACCAACTGACAGTCCCTAGCATATCTTGGGGACCAGATGGGGTGACAGTACTCCAGATGGGGAAGCACTTCACTCTTGAAGATCGTTATGAGGGACGGACCGTCTAGATATCTGAACGACCTTCTTATAAGACCCAATAATTTATTTGCCTGATTTACTTTCTTCTCGCAATGGACCAAGAACTTCAGCTCATTGTCATCATACACACCTCGGTCCTTCTCACATTCAGTCTCAAATAGTGCAGTTTCTTCATCCCAGTGTGATGATGTTATGTATACTGTACTGTGGTTTTAGATTTTATTCTAATGAATTATTTATTGATGAAGAATGTGTTTTACACAAAAGTGAAAAAGGATATGAGTGTGACAATGTCTTAACAGCCATGTGGTAGTCCAGAAGTGACCAGATAGAAAAAAGGCAGATCTCAGAATTTAAAAAAAGTGAGAAACACAACAAAAGCTTTATTTTTAGTTTAGTATAATTCTTTATAAATCTTGCCTGTTTATTTGACTGGACTACCATACATAAAGACTAAGAAGAGTACCTGTATACAGTACAGTACACCTTAATATTTTAATGTTTATGATGTGAATGATATTTTAATATTTCTTATACCTTTTAAGCATATTTCAGATCAAGATATTGTACTGTACAATAAATTAGTGAAAACAACATGAATTACATTTATTAATTCTGATGCTTGGAATATTATACCTGTTAATTAATGTGCAGAATTTGATGTATGATACAAAACATAATGTTTAGGCTAAGCTTGTTCCTCATAATGATGTTCATACACCCAGCATGTGGCCAGTGTGCCGGTCCTGCACTAAAGGTTTTCACTGACTTTAGTGTCATATTGTTGGCACTTGTAATTGGTTTGTTGATAAATCCATTTTTAACACCCTACAATGAAAATATGTCAACAGTCCTTTACCTGAATTAATTGTATAGTTGCAGAATTTTGTATAATTGTATCTTTTAAGTGTATAAGACACTCTATGTATTTCTCATTTGTTTAATACCTGTACAGTACTGTACTGTATTAATAAATGTGTACAATACTTTTGAATAATATAATTACTGTATATCTGATAGGTACTGTATACCTAACATGTGATACAGTAAGTCTTAACAGTAGTCTTTTTTTTGTTCAGTACTGTACTGTATACAGTATTGTACTATACAGTACTTTATTTACACTGACATCCAGGGGAGAGCTTGCCTGGTTCCCTCATGATGATTACATCACGTCCCTACCAACCACCAGGTTAACATTATTGTCATTTTATAACTATTTTTTAACTGATACAATGTTTGCTTGAAAATGCAAACACTGCAGACCATAAATATGGTTCATGCTGTGCATTAAAGAGATCAGAGCTGTCAATTTACTGAGATGTTGTTCATATGCATACGTATGCAGCTTACATGTCAGACCCCTGTGGAAAAACCCTGGATCCACCGTAGATTATTTGGCCAAGTAATGCTGAAATATACGTTTTCATTTTTTATTGAAGATTTACTGTTGTATCATCTGTTAATGTCATTTCATAAATTTGAAAATATTTTTTTTAGGAATTTTTTTATTCTTGCAAAGCCCTTTCCTACTATACGTACACATTGTAAGGTGGTTGGATATACGAGCAAACATAGACACCCTCTTTTTGTCATTCATTCACTTACTGCTGCAATAAGGCCCCTGGATATCTACAGTATATGGTTTATCCATTGCATGAATTAACCGAAAATCATTCATCAGCAACATATCCATACTGAAAAAAAAAGATACTCAAAACTTTGGTCTCCATTGTTAATTTCATATTCATACTTACAAGCTTATTAACTGAAGCATCTATATGGTAGTGACCAAATTTATTTAATTCCTTTACAGTACAGTACAGTACCAGCTTTTCTAGGCTTCGCAACCAATTTTTATTTCTGAAACATTTTGCTGATATTTGTAACCATATTTTATTATTTCCAGTACATTTACTGTACATTACTTTATTGCATAGAATTCATTAGTAAAACCACTTACAGTACAGTACCACATAACCCATATGTCCCTTAACTGCTCAAGGAAATGCACATAATAACCTTGTCAACATGATACTGTAATTATAGAAATCTGCATGGATTGATAATAATTTATGAATGTTGCTGATGAGTAGAAACTTTATTATGTTAAAGTTTGAATGTTGTTCCAAAGTCAAAGTTCTTCAGAATATTATGCCAGGCACTTATCAAGGGAGAAGTAATGATTGGTAATTGAGGCACTACACAGACAAAACTTAATCTGTATGCAAAGTGAGTGTTTGGATAAATCATAAGGTGCTAGTACATATGTATTTGATAACTGGAGCTTTGAATCATTGCTTTTGAATACTATACTGAGTACGGTATTTTGACAGGTTTGTTGGTTCTGTCATTTTATATAAACAATGTTACTGGCATTTTCCTCAGTCATTTCTATAATTTACCCTGATGTTTTCCTGATTAATTCCTGTATCAACAATATCTTCTTTTGAAAAAATTTATATTTTTTTCACGTTTGAGTTGAACTAATTTTTGTATTTTGGTACAGGTGATTGGTGTCATCTCAGTGTTCTTCATCTGCGTGTCTATCCTATCGTTCTGTTTGAAGACGCACCCAGATATGCGAGTGCCAGTCATAGAGAATGTGACAGTGCAAACAGCAGAGAATACAACAGCTTGGACACTTGACAAGAAGGCTACTAATGCTCATGAGGCATTCTTCTATATAGAGTGTGTGTGTAACACATGGTTTACCTTTGAAATATTAATTAGGTTAATTGCATCACCCAACAAGTTCATGTTTCTTAAAGCATCAGTGAACATGATAGACTTCATTGCTACATTAAGCTTCTATGTGGACATCCTACTCCAGAAGTTTGCATCACACTTGGAAAATGCAGACATCCTTGAGTTCTTTAGCATCATTCGAATCATGAGGTTATTCAAATTAACGCGACACTCCTCAGGTCTCAAGATCCTGATACAGACTTTCCGAGCATCAGCGAAAGAGTTGACCTTGCTTGTATTTTTCCTGGTGCTGGGTATTGTAATCTTTGCCTCCTTAGTATACTATGCTGAGAGGATACAAGCAAACCCACACAATGATTTCAACAGTATCCCTCTTGGTCTATGGTGGGCGTTAGTCACCATGACCACCGTAGGTTATGGAGATATGGCACCCAAGACTTATGTGGGCATGTTTGTTGGTGCCCTGTGTGCCCTGGCTGGTGTGTTAACGATTGCACTGCCAGTTCCTGTCATCGTGTCCAACTTTGCCATGTACTACAGCCACACACAAGCACGAGCCAAACTTCCCAAGAAACGGCGGCGAGTCCTGCCCGTGGAGCACGTCCGTGTGGGACCTATTGCTCCCCAACCCAAGCGCGGAGGGGGACCCAATGACATGAATCGCGGTCCAGGACCCAAGATGGGTAAGTTATTTCAGTTCAAATTTATCGTGATCATGTCATATCATCTCGAGATCTTCATTCATTACCATCGTCACCATCAGTCCTCTTACATACCATCCTGCTCTCAGCCTGCTTACCCTACCTTCCTTTGTGAACAACAACCTTCCTAGTTAACCAGTAGTCATCCCAGTTACATCAGCACGCTTGCTAGTACAATTAACATTACACACACACACACACACAGTTATACTGTAGTGTGTGTATATATATATATATATATATATATATATATATATATATATATATATATATATATATATATATATATATATATATATATATATATATATATATATATATATATATATATATATATATATATATATATATATATATATATATATATATATATATATATATATATATATATTTATATATATATATATATATATATATATATATATACAGTATAACTACTTTTATTTTACAAAAATATTCACAGTAATAACATGTTCTTACTAAATCAGAAGTGTTTTAATTCATTGTTATCTCAGGGTCTCCCCCTCCACAACAGAATTTACAGTTTTGCATTCAATGAATATTTACTCTTCTTCATTATCAGCATTGAATACCTAGGTAAAAGAAATATCACCATTGATAGAAATTAACAAAGGGTACGGTATGTCAATAATAGGGGGACGAAAATTTTTACTAGTGTACGGTGCTCCAAACAGCTCACCTGCAGCTAGTGAGTCCACACTCTACAGGTTCGCTTACAGTTAGTGCCATTACTTAATAAAGACGATCACTACCTCATCATATCACCACTTAATCAGCATACAGTATTGCCTATTCTGGCAGGTGGTCTGTTCTTTGTTACTTTTTTATGACCTTTATTGTCCAAGTGTTAGTACAGGAGGAGAACTTGGTACAGGCATCCCTCCACATATCATCTTTTGATTTACAGTTCTTCTTTTTTATGATTTCAATTATTAAAAAAAAATTGCTATACGATTGAACTTTTGGGGTTTAGCAATCAATTGCTGTGTGCTTCTACATTTGTCATCCCAAAATGGCCATCTGTGCAGAAACATACCTGTATTCGTTGTCCTCTGTATAGGGAGGGACTACCCGCATGCCGCTGCTATGATCTGTCTATCTTATTGAGCTCGTACCAACGTGCATGAGAAGAGTTTTTGTTCACTCACCACTCTTGTGCCACGTGACCACCTGTTACATACGATTATAACGCTGTTGTGACCACTGTGCTTATGGACTGCAATTGTCAATCATAGTTTGTTTATGGTGTCATTTTCTAGTGAATTCAGTAAAATTTAAATGTTACTTACTGTATATAGGATGGAATTACTTGATTGAGCACTAATGGTGTGATAATGTGATTGACTTTATAGAAAAGAATGATCTTGGGGTGGTGGTGGTACAGTATAGTAAATCCTTGTTATTCATGAGGGATAGGTTCCAAGGAAGGGTGCGAATAGGCAAAACCGTGAATAGCAACTTAAACTGCCTTAGAGCACTACTGTATACCTATACCAAACAACCAATCAGCTGCGGCACCACCCATCCCCTCCTTTAACTTTCAACTTTCTTCTGCCTTTTACATTTCACTCCACTAGCATCACTAGCACTGACACTAGGCAGTCTTTTAGGAGCCATTTCACACAGAAACACTAAAGTTTTGAGAGCACAACACGAGATGCTGCGTGGGGTGACTAGTTGTGCTGCGGGATAAAGCTTGTAAGCTAGCCACCATAGCCACCATCTGCTTACCACTAATTGTCGAAATCGCGAATCGCAAACCCACGAATGGGAAGAGTCTACTGTACAGTGGTAACACACACATCTCTCGGTACTGTGTCCTGCATTCAATCCTAGGCCCGAGACAGATGTAAGAAAGGTGTTATCCAATGTAACTCTACCAAATATTACAGGTTTTCTCTGGGTACTCCAGTATTCCTTCTGTACTAACACTGGCCAATGAAGGTCATAATAAAATAACAAAGAACAGACTAATCATCCAAATGGCTAGTAAGCTGATAAATGTGAAATGATGAATATAATATAATCCAGTAATCAAATGATGGTATTGTACAGTACATGGCCTGTATTTAGAAAAGTGTCTCCTGTGTTCATATTTGAAACACCTATCACTTTATTGGCATTTTTCATGTTAACAAAACTAGAAGGAACAAAATAAATATTGCAAGAGCTTCTGCTTGGTGTTTTGTGACAAGTGATATGATAACCATTTGGCTAAACTAGTTGATATTAATATGTGAAAAGAATGAAGCACACCTCATTGATCAGGGAAGAATAAGTAAAGCATGAAGAGACAAGGATCAGTAAAGGCTGGAAGAAACAACAGACAGTAAAGAAACAGGAAAACTACAATTCTGAATCCTACTGTTGAGTGAGAGATAACCGGCTGGTTTTGTAATATGAATAAAGAAATGGGATGAGAAAAGAACCATCATTATATTCCATGTAGTAATTATACAGTACAACAGGTGAGAAACAACCTGCCCATTACTTATTCAGGTACTATACCTATAATGTAAACTATGGTATCCTTGACTAAGTAATAGATCTCTGAAGAGCTTTCTTTTCTTGACCAAAAAGTAGACACCGGGGTAAGTCTTATTTTCCAATGTATTCGTGCAATTTATTATGAAAAGTAATAAAGAATCATAGTACAGTACAGTAAAATAGTACTGTACTTGTATTTTACAAGCTAAATATTAAAGGCAGTATTGCACACATTGGGAAATTATGGTATTAATGCTATGCTTCGTTATAGTGCATGCCTCATTAGGGGGAAATGTGAAAAAACTATGGCCAGTATCAGTAAGTACAGTACCGTATATAAGGAATGAGATAGTGTAGTAAAAATAAGAATTGCATTAATGTGAATATGTGGACAATAAATTCATAATTATGAACATATTGATACTACTATAAGAAAAATACAGGTAATACTAATATTCACTCCTAGAACAAATGTTAACACATCCAGATTAGATACTGACAGTTCATTACATTATTTCTACCACAACACAGAAGACATATACAGTACAGTACTGTATTAACAACTCACTGTTTGTTATGTCCACAGAACACATTTTAAGTTAGGAGCTCTTTCAGAGTCAACTTTTACACAACCAGCTCATGAAGATATTTAACAGTAGCATATTTATGCTTCCACAAATGAACTAATAACTTGCTGATGTTTCCTACAACATCATAGTTACAAGTCCAGCATTTCAAGCATCCTCCTCCCCCTGTCCAAATGCTTGTTTGTATGGCCCAAACTCCTTACACCTTTCTTCTTATTTGTCTCCCTTGTCTGACTCCAATATTCTGTTTGTTGCTCTGTCCTCGGTGCGTGGTAACCACCCACTTCTCTGCCTGTAAACCATCACCACAGTTTGCAGTCCTGTTCCTTGTCTTGCATGAGTTAACCGGCTATTTGCCCTATCCTTGATCCCACCACCTACTTCCCAACAGAGCACAGGGTCATCAAGCTCAGGAGGACAAGTGGCCCTCAGTCCGGGAAATGATATAAATTTTCTGTGTGATTAGTGTGGGATGTGTTGATATGTTAGTGTATTCTGGTGGGCTCAAAGATGGTTTGAATGCTCAGTGTTGGCTGATAACTGTGTTTTCATCACCCTCATCACTACTGTATGTTATGCTGTCATTTGTTGTTCTCTGGGTGGATGCTAATGATACTGTTCTTATCCTCGACAGTAAGGCTACTTGAATTTTAAGGATACGTACATTGAAATGTCCTAAAGTCAGATCACATGACTTAAGTGTACATAGTGAATTAAATAATATGACTACAGTACTTACTTTGAACCTTTAGAAATCTCACGTTGTACAGATTCATACAAGATGAAACAGCATCACACGATATTTCAAAAGCTTCATAATATTTACTGAATCACCCAATGCTATGTGCACCTAGATAACGATGGTATCATTAACACATTTCTTTTCTTAGACCTCAGACCCGTAGACACAGATCTGTTCTATCCTGACTATACCAGATGTATGTTGACCCTTGTTGTCAATCTTCGTTTACAACTATCTAGCATTGACTCTTGTTAATGACCCTTCATAGACCATGGTGTTTTGTCCTGCATAGTACAGTACAGTATCCCCAGTTAGTGTGAACCTTTGTGGTGACCCTGCACTAACCCCACTTATCTAGTAGAACTGGCTGATTTATCTTCATTCATTTAAATATCTTACATTCACCTACAAAATACTCTGTAGTATTCAGAAATTTGGTGTGAATCACCCCTCAACTTATTAGTTTTTCTGGTTAAAGTTACTTAAATGTATTTTCAGTTGCAGTTTCCCCAGATCTTGGACTCTCACTTAACTCTACTGTCCTCAAACTTGTTACTGAGGCTATTTGTTAGCAAAGTAGCTGCTGTTAGCTGTCTGCCCCTTGAGCTTCTAGATTACATTTTCAATTCCCCCTGTCTCTGTGTTTATTGTGCTGTTAAAGTGCCAGATCTGCAAAATCCTTGTAAAAGCAGTAATGACACCCTGTTGTAGTATTTTATGTTTTACTAATAGCTTCATGATATTGCAGTACAGTACAGTACAGTTGTTCATGGTGCTGTTAAATTTCCTTTTCTTGGGTCATATCTTCCCCTATCAACTGTTAATATGAGGCCAGTCTTGCTTGTAATTATTCAGTCTTGTGTTTGGTTCAAATCTTTGGATGCTTGACTTTTGAGCCAATCATAGTCATGAATTAATTTATGCATTATTGGTATTTTGAAGTACTTTTCTAATCGAGGCCTTCAACGGTCCTTCCCACATACATCACTTCCATTTATATATCTATATATATATATATAAATAAAATGTGTGCTTTGTAGAGTAAATAAAGATTATCAGTTTTATCAAAAGTAATTTTAGACCCAGGAAAACATCAATCAATTTTCAGTGATTAAAAACTCCTTTTGAAGGTAGCATGTTATTCA